CTGGGAGCGGCCTCGGCTCCCGGAGGGGAAGCCCCCCAACCGGGCCCCGGCGGGGAGCGCACACACACACGGCCTCTGGCAGAGCACAGGGAGCCCCCGGGGCTGCTGGAGCGGGCTGCAAGGGGACAGGACGGTGAGCACGTGGGCAGGTGGGCTGCTCCCGCCCCTCCCGCCAGCCCAGCAACAGTCACGGACCCCCCAGTGGAGCCTATGAAGAGGTTTTATTTCTCCAAGGTCAACTTTATTCCTTGTTTATACATCTATTTCATCGACATCATCATGGTTAGGTTGGTTTTTATTAAAGATTTTATTTATTGATTCGAGAGCGAGTGAGCCAGAGAGAGAGAGCAAGAGCAGGGGGAGGGGCAGAGGGAGAGGCGGACACCCCACGGAGGACGGAGCTGGATGCAGGGCTCCTTCCTGGGGTTCCAGGATCATGACCTGAGCTGAGGGCAGCTGCTTCACCGACTGAGCCGCCCAGGTGCCCCTTCATGGCTTGTTTTAAACAAGTTTATAGCATATACATTTCTCCCCATAGCCCCATAGTCCTCCTCATCATAAAATGCAGCAGAGGCACAGCAGTTCCCTAAACTTCTGTATTTGATGACTGTCTGGAGAATTTACACTATTTCTGGTTTTTTAAGCCACAGATAACACTGTAATGAAATCCAAAGTTTTCCCTTCTTTTGGATGATTCATTTGTGATTAAGTACTCTGACGTGGTATTATAAACAGGAATGGGGTTACCACAGGTCAAATGTTACATCTTCACAGCTCTTGTGACAACTGCTGCACTACTTTCGACCCTAGGTGTGAGCACACAGACCCTACCACACCTCAGCAACGCTGGGCACCTCCATCTTCTAGAGCTGGCTTAGCTAACAGGTATAAAATGTCACTTTCTGAAAATGACATTTTACTATTATTTAACACTTTCAATAATCTGAAGAACAAGATTATTGACTCCACTTCCTCTCTTGCTACCTGTTTATAATCCTTTGCTTATAAATCTCCCGACATTTTGATTGGTAACTTACGTAGCAGAAGAAAATTTAAAGAACACAAGGTACAACACAGACGAGAATGCTAAATGATAACTCATTTCCAGTCCAAGCTGAATACTTCCTTAATTTGGGGTATTAATAACCTATTTATAGAGAATGGATGATAAAACCAATCTACTGGCCTATCTAAATGCAGGTAGGGCTAAGTGCAAAGATTAGGACCCGAAGTATGAAAAAAGGTGAAACTTAGGTTTCTAAGAACAAAAGCAAAGATAAACAACCATCTACCATTTCAAAAAATTTACCAGAGGTAATGAAATACGCCTCTAATATAAAGACATAATGAGCACCGCAGATGTGCTGCTTCTTCATCATGGAGAAGTCACAGGTACATTATACCTCTATAATACAGTGTTATCAACATGCAGTGCTCTTATCTTACAAAGTTTCCCCCTACAAATGACGTGCCATTTATGCCTTATAACTCCTTTAAGGTCAAGAAAGTGATGATCTCAATGTCGCTGGTAAGGAAACTGAAGTCCAGAGAGGCTGAGAAACTCGCCCGAGTCGCATCATCAAGTCATCGACAGAACACTGCACTCCAAACACAAGCCAAAATGATAATAAGACAATTCTTCACCTGAGGTTGTTCTTGTTCGAAGGACCATATGGGTACAAGTGGGGGCCGTGGCACTGTGTGAGGGAGATCCTACAGTGAACAAGACAGCTCTGGAACTTGCTGCTGTTCCTATAGGAGGTTCCAGTCTACCACCACAAGCTCCTGCAGGGGCTCCAGCGAAAAGTTCACACAATGTTACATCGCTTCCATGGTGTTTCGATTTGGGGGTGGTGTTACAGGGAGACCATTACTTTTATAGTTGGGTTTCTGGGGGCGTTTTTACATTAGGTACTTATTACTCTTAACATCAGAAAGTCAACACAGATCTGCATTAGTAGTATTTTACAGTACTTTCTTCTCAGCTGTGAACCTTCCTTACACCAAATCCGCCTACTCAGAGTCACCTCATAGACTTCTAAGGGACATGAGCTGCTGTCACACCTGTTAAGGATCATTCAAAAAAGTGGAAACCAAGAACTTAGGATAAAAATATGAGGGAAAGATGAAGGGAGATCAGGATTTTCCACGGTGTAAGAGCCAGAGAAAGTTGAGTCAAAGTACACATGGGCCTTGGAATTGCAGCCATACATCTGTCAGGAAGAAATGGGGGTGGACCCAATGTCAGGGACCCTGGTGGGCTGGTGTGGGTTAAAGGAAGGGAAGGTGGAAAGTCCCTCTCCACCAAACTACACAGAATCAATAAAAGGTGTCCAAAGCCTTTTCACTCTCAATCATCTCAAAAACATTACATTTCTGAGGACACAGAATGGAGGTGGGAGTTAACAGCACAAATCACAAATTTAAAACCAGATACAGAAAAAACCTACCAACAGTGTCCATCCTATCCACAACAGAGCATAACAACTTGAAGCATCTAATTAACAGAACAGAGAGTTTATAAAAATCTTTTAGGAAGCCACGAACAGTAAGTGGAAATTAATTAAATAGTATCTATTTGTAGGTATTCGTGTATTTTAATATGGTCATGGATGTATTTTAAGAGACAATGACCCATTTCTTTTAAGGTCTTAAGTTTTTCCTATTATCAGCAGTTTTTATTTTCAGAAATGGAGACTTCATGATTAGAAAGAGAAATCTGTAATTTTGAATGATGATAGTAAAGTTCATGTGGAAAAGAGAAGAGAAAAAGAGGACAAAAATGATCAAAGATGCATTTTATGCCTAAATGTTGTTTAGGGAGAAAAACCTGGTTTCATACACACAAACTTGGACTTAAATTACAATACATATTCATGTAGAATGTACAAACCCTATAAATTTAAATTAATTTGTAAAAGGGGATGAGACATAATACAGTTTTTCAAACAAGCTAATTCCAAAAACTGTTCCAACTCATAGTGACTGACTTCTGGAAAACAGCACACAGAACGACAACTTTCAGAATGGCAGTGTTAAGTGTGAGCAGCATCAGAGGCCTGCTTCTCAGTGAAACAACTGTAACTGGTGAAAATTAATTTTCTTATTCATTTAAGAAAGAGAGTGGGGAATAGGGGGTGAGAGACAGAGAGTCTTAAGCAGACTTGGCATTGAGCAGGGAGCCCAACATGGGGCTCGATCTCACAACACTGAGATCACAACTGAGCAGAAACCAAAAGTCAGGTACTTAACTAA